GCATAAATAAAACATACGGAATTACCATAAATGACTAATATATATATATATGACACTTAATGATTTTAATAATAAATATTTGATAACAGTTTATATATCCTCCATCATTTTTCTTTAGTTTTATATTATTAAAATAAATTAAACAATCAAATTAGCTATAAAATTAAACTTTAGATTTTTTCGTATAGGTTATATTTTGAATTTTAAGAAACGAGAATAAATAACTAAACTATTAAAATTATTATGTTAAAAATTAATGATGAATAGTTTAAAATTTTATTATAAAAAGATATACATGATTTTAAAACCATATAAGTAAAAAGTATCATTCAATAATAAAACAAATATATATATACAGATTAAACTATATACCATATAAGATTACATAAATATTTTAATTTCAAAATTTTCAATAAATTTTCAAGAACATTTATAAATTATAAACTTATTAAATATTTCACATTGAAATTTTTTTGTTATCAATGATTTAAATATCTTAGTTCTTTTTTTAATTTTATATTTTTAAAAGATATTAACAATCGATAATATGGTTATTTTTGGTATATACCATACAAACCAAATGTATGTGATTTTATAAAAACCATAGGATTTGGATATGGTTTGATTTATAATCGATTAAACTGAAACATGTAAATATGTATATATTTATAACGACGCAAGAATATCTATTTGTTACATGAGTTGAACTATAATTATAATTTGTAAATAGCTAACAATTTATTACAACTAAGACTTCTTATTTTGATCTTTTGCCTTTTTAACAGTAACTAAATTGAAGTAAAGATTATAAATTTGATGGACAACAATTAGTTGAAATTCCTTACAACTTTTTTTTTTTATCTTTAAACAAACATAGTTGTGTTCAATCGAAGACATATTGGTTTGATGAACACTAAATATGGAAGAATATAAAAACTTTTCTTTCATGCTTCTGTTTTGTTTTTTATTTTTATTTTCAAAATTTAGTGTTTTGATATTAATTCAAGATTTGATCATTTTATTAGATGATAGAAGCCTTTTTTGTTTTTTATTTTTTTATCTAAATATAAAATATTTTTTTAATAAATGACTTTGTGACAATATGACTCTAAATATGATCATATTATATATTTGTATAATATATAATATGATCTCAAACTAAATAATTATGTTTTTTGGTATAAAATTGAATACACTGAAAACCGATGGTATATAAACCAAATCAAACTGAAGTACATATAGATTTATAATAGTAGTTATATTTTAATGATCGAAATACCAAAAAATCGAGTCGAACCGAAACTCGATATCCAGATTGAACACCTATAATCCGAATGAAACCGAACTATTGTTTCATTTTTAAAAACATAATAAAAATAATAGCTTCATCCCGCGCAAGGCACGGGTCTTATCCTAGTTATAAATTAAGAAGGGTTAATCATACATACTGTGATATGTCTCTTATAGGTTTGAACTAACTTGGTTTAAAGCAAAGTAAATAAGTAGCATTCACTAAAAAAGGAAACAAATAAGTAGCAAAATTGAGCCTCCCTTACTCTTACAAAAAAAAGATTGGTGCCTCAGCGTTGGGGAGCTTACTACTCCATATCGATGGCGTCTTCTTCTCTTGCCACCCAATCTTTTTATACTTCCTTTTCTCTATCTCTCCGACTTCACCTCCCTCAACCTTATCTACTTCTTCGCTCTTCAGTCTGTCGGAAAACCATCTCTCTGTCCGCCACTTCCCCTTCCCCTTCCTCATCTTCTTCTCCTCCCATTTTCCTCTCATGTTTCGACGACCCACCACCAGAAACTGTCCCAAAACCAGATAATCCGACAACTATTACCGAAGTAAATAATGAAGAAGAAGAAGAAGATCCGATTCTCAAATTCTTCAAGTCACGAACTTTAACCGCAGAGGACCCTCCTCAAGAATCCAAATTCTCCCTCCAGAAGAACCGTCGAACCTCCTGGCACCTAGCTTCCGACTTCTCCTCCGACCTTGAAACCGAAATCGAGCCCGACCCAACAAAACCCGTCTCTGCAGCAAACCAACAAACACTTGGTGTGCACAACAACGCTCCCTCCGTCGCTGCCGAAATCCTGGATATAGCTAAGAATCTGACAGATAATCAAACTTTAGGAGAGATGCTATCAGGTTTCGAAAAAAGAGTCAGCGAAAAAGAGTGCGTAGAGGCATTAGTGATGATGGGTGAATCTGGTTTCATCAAAAGTTGTTTGTATCTCTACGAGTGGATGAGTCTCCAGAACCCTTCACTCCTTTCGCCTCGTGCTTCCTCTGTGCTGTTTACATTGCTCGGTAGAGAAGGAATGGCTGATATGATTCTTCTTCTGCTACGTAATCTACCAGACACGGATGAGTTCAGAGATGTTCGTCTCTACAACGCCGCCATTTCTGCTCTCTCAGCTTCTCAAAGGTACTACTTCCTTTCTTCAAGCTCTAGAAAATGTATCATTTTGATCAAAAAATTGCTCTTGTTTAATTAGGTATGATGATGCTTGGGAAGTGTATGAATCCATGGAGAAGATCAATGTCCATCCAGACAGTGTTACATGTGCTGTAATGATAACGACAATGAGGAAAGCAGGACGAAGTGCTAAAGATATTTGGGAGATGTTCGAGAAGATGAGCGAGAAAGGTGTGCGTTGTTGGAGTCAGGATGTATTCGGTGGCCTTGTGAAATCGTTTTGCGACGAAGGGCTTAAAGAAGAAGCTCTTGTGATACAAACAGAGATGGAGAAGAGAGGGATACGTTCAAACACCATTGTGTACAACACATTGATGGATGCTTACAACAAGTCCAACCACATAGAAGAAGTGGAAGGTCTTTTCGCTGAGTTGAGAGGTAAAGGGTTGAAGCCCACATCTGCAACTTACAACATTCTCATGGATGCTTACGCTAGAAGGATGCAGCCTGATATCGTGGAGAAGCTTCTGGAGGAGATGGAGGGTTTAGGTTTAGAGCCAAATGCGAAATCCTACACGTGTTTGATTAGTGCGTATGGTAGGACGAAGAAGATGAGTGATATGGCTGCTGATGCGTTCTTGCGGATGAAGAAACTAGGTTTGAAACCTACTTCACATTCTTACACGGCTCTTATTCATGCTTACTCTGTTAGCGGGTGGCACGAGAAAGCTTATGCCTCCTTTGAAGAGATGTGTAAAGAAGGGATTAAACCGTCGGTTGAGACGTACACATCGCTTCTAGATGCATTCAGAAGGTGTGGTGATGTAGAAAAGCTGATGGAGATTTGGAAACTAATGCTGAGAGAGAAAATACAAGGGACAAGGGTAACGTATAACACTCTTCTTGATGGGTTTGCGAAACAAGGTCGCTACATGGAAGCGAGGGATGTTGTTTACGAGTTTGGTAAAATGGGTTTGGAGCCGACTGTTATGACTTACAACATGCTGATGAATGCTTACGCAAGGGGAGGACAAGACTCAAAACTACCACAGCTGTTGAAAGAAATGGCTGCTCTTAACTTAAAACCTGATTCCATCACGTATTCAACTATGATCTACGCTTATGTCCGTGTTCGAGACTTCAAAAGAGCGTTCTTTTACCACAAGATGATGGTTAAAAGCGGGCAAGTACCAGACCCGAGGTCATATGAGAAACTTAGGGCGATTCTTGAAGACAAGGCGAAGACAAAGAACAGAAAAGATAAAAGTGCTATACTTGGTATAATCAATAGTAAGTTCGGTCGTGTTGAAACTAGGCCTAGAGGGAAGAAGGATGAGTTCTGGAAATACAAGAGGAACCGAACATCTTATAAACCCCAAGCGTAGCCTGTTAAGCTATTTAAATACTAGTACATAGTGAGGATGTTGTTTAACTCGATATACTTTTATCATTCTTGTATCATGTGGACTAAAAAGTGCAGGAGTTTAGCTTTATTATTCAGACAAGCAAAGAATATCTTAAGCTTTAAGCAATCTTTCAGATATAAATAACACTTCCATCAAAGAACACACACATCACTCTCTCTTTTACATGAAAACAAAAAAAATGAAAATCTTGATTCTTATGTTGACGACAGTCATAGTAATCTCAATGCTTAGCTTGGTGGGCGCGTGCCGATCATACTGTGGAAATATAACCGTGGATTATCCATTTGGAGTCCGAAATGGATGTGGGCATCCAGGGTATAGAGATCTTTTGTTTTGTATGAATGATGTGTTGATGTTTCACATAAGTTCAGGTTCTTATAGAGTGTTGGATATTGACTACGCGTATCAGTCGATAACGCTGCATGATCCTCACATGTCGAACTGCGAAACCATTGTTCTTGGTGGCAAAGGCAATGGCTTTGAAGCTGAGGATTGGAGAGCCCCTTATTTCAATCCTACCTCTGATAATGTCTTTATGTTGATCGGTTGTTCTCCCAAATCTCCTATCTTTCAAGGTTAGTAAGTTAAACTACACAACACATACTCACAAACATATTTACTTTTTTATTTGTTTACATGCTTTAGACCAGATAGATAATCCGGTATAAGTTTTTTTCTTCGTTTGAGCTTGTTTTCTTCGTTTGAGCTTGTTTTCTTCGGTTTATAACTCCCGTTCAATAGAAAACGTAATCGGTTTGGTTCATTATGGTTTGATGCAATATTGATTTGGTTCAATTTGTATTTGGTTTTGGTCTAACTCTAAGATGTTACTAGATTTTGAACCGCGCTTAGATTTTGACCCGCACTTGAAAACGCGGAAATTTTTTATAACCAAAATTTATATAATTGGATTATGTCTTAATTTAAAGAATGTTATGGTATAAAATCAGTTTATCAAAATTTGTGGTGACGATTTTTTTCATTAGTTTTTAGTTTCAGTTTTTATTTATAGATTTGGTTTTTAGTTTTTAAGTTTCTATTTTTGATTTTCAGCTTTTGTTTGGGTTTTTAATTTTTAGATCTGCTGAGTTAGTTTGAACTGATATTACCAACAAAAAAAATTCAAATAATCGAACATCTAATTTAAAACTAAAAAGATGACAATTTTTTTTAAAAAAAAAATTACAATAAATTATTTTTTAATAAACAAAGCAAAAACTATAACAATATGTTATCCAGAACAATGCGTTTTGAGCTTTTGGTTTTGGGTTTTAGTTTTTAGTTTTTAGAATTGGTTTTTAGTTTTGCTTTACATTTTTTTTTAAATCGGTAAATTATTTAAGAAAAATAAAACAATAAATTATTTAAAAGTTACCATTGAAATTTATCAAAATAGTGATTGTTATTTAAAATAAAAAATACAATAACATGTTTTAAAGTACATGATTTAAATAAATGATTAATAATAGACAATTTTGTTTTGTTAAAAATATTAAATACATTTGGGCCTGAAAATAATAATAGATTTTTTGATCCATTAAGATAGAAATTTTATTCAATGTTTTTGGAGTTTTTCCTTAATAGTAAGCATAAAAATCAAACCATATAATTTGTCCTAAAAACAAAAGTAAGCCCAAGAGTATATCCCATAAATAATCATCGGTTTAATTTAAGTAATGCGGTTCAATTAACTATATGGCTTGTTGTAACACTCTAGAAAGAGTCCAAATTTAATTGACAATTTGTATTAGTAGATAAAAAGAAAGACTCTATTTTAATAGAGTAGATTTCCATTGGTTTCATATAATTTTAAATTTCCATTTTTTTAAGGAATTGTTAAGATGCTAAATGGTATATTACGATTTCCACATTAATATAATTAGTAGATTTCCATATTCCATATTTTGATAATATATATTCTTTTAGATCATTCCATATTTGTAGGAGAAAATATGTGTTTCCAGACACATAGATATCTGCCGTATTTTGAAGATAGTTTACATTAAGGTCGTCATGTTACAATAATTGTGTTGGTTTAATTTAAGTAATGCGGTTCAATCAATTATAAGACTTATATTATTTGTAACACTTTAGAAAGGATCCAAATTTAAATGACAACTTGTATCAGTAGATAAAAATAATGTCTCTATTTTAATAGATAAGATTTAAATAGTTATTATTCTTATGTTATATGATTATCCATATAAACGTATAGATGTGGTTAAAGTTTCTACAAACAGTAGAAAATTTTGATTTATGATTCTTAAACTATGTAATCAATCAGATTGTATATTTACATTCACAGGCGTTTGAACTCGTTTATTTATGGTTTTACAAAGAAAAAAACATAATATAACCACTAACCAATAAAATAATCGGCTCATAAAGGATTTTAGACTCGATATGCGCAATTTCTGTGAAATCTGGTTAATGCGACTGAATAGGGTTTGATAAACTAAATTTCCACTATTATTATTAGGCTTTCCGGAAAAGAAATTACCATGTCACAACATCTCTGGAATGAGCTGTGAAGAATACATGTCTTGCCCAGCATGGGATATGGTTGGATATAGACAACCGGGTCTATCATCCGGGTCGGGTCCACCCATGTGTTGTGCGATTGGATTTGAATCAGTAAAAGCGATAAATCTAAGTAAGTTGGAGTGTGAAGGATACAGTAGTGCATACAATCTCGCACCCTTGAAGCTTAGAGGACCTTCTGATTGGGCTTATGGAATACGAGTCAAGTACGAGCTACAAGGGAGTGATGCGTTTTGTCGTGCTTGTGTTGCAACTTCCGGTACTTGTGGCTACGAATCTGCTGACGGTGGAGGGCTCAGGCACGTTTGCATATGTGACCACCACAATTCTACCACAAACTGTGATTCAGGTCGGTTTTGCATTACATTTTATGGTTTATCTAAAAGTTAAAGCTGTATATTCCAACTAATAATCACAATATTTAGTGTGGGCAAAGTGACCTGATAACAGAATTCATCATTGTATAGTATTTGAAAAACTTGGATCAAAGGGAAAAAAACATATCTAGTCGAGACCAAAATTATGTGAAAATTGATGTTTAGTTAGATACAAACAAAAAGAAAAATAAAATAAACTATTCATTTATGAATCAGAATCCAAATTGAAATACCAAAAAGTAGAACCATATATATATTTGATTTAACATTCTTACGTATTATAACCATTATAAATTAAGGAGTTAACACACAAATGTGCATATGCATAATTTGAACATGCCGTTTTCTTGTAAAATTCACTAGTTTAGGTAAATTGCTTCGCATCATCGCATGCTTAAACGTATCAGTCAGACGTTAGATGTGATGTGTGGTACAGTGGACTGGCTCACAAACTTGTCTTAATTTATTAAAATGTTGACAATATCTATTATTTTATGTAGTTGTAACACCAAGCGGTGCATCTTCAAATGTTCGACCATATACCATTGGATGTAAGTATCAAAGTGCATTTACGTGTACAAATTTATTTTATTGATTATAAGCTAAATTACTACTGTTTCTTTTGCAGCACTGATCCTCTACTTCATAACTATGAACATAGGGTTTCAAAGAAGACAATGACAATACCCATTAATAATGTCTGGAATCAAGCCTCTATTTTTTACTTTACTCAAACATTTTGTTCATTGCTTGAAATTATTTTGACCTTTTGTATGTATTCCCACGAAACTTGATTATACACCAAAATTATAGACTTAATAACATGTAGTAAAAATCCCAAGAAACATATTTCAGTTATGAAATAATAACTGAAAAAGGAGCAATTGATTGCTTTGTGTTTTGAGTGTGTGTAAACACAATGAGAGGAGTGAATGACTAAACTTAACTTCTTCTTTTTTAAGCAACTTTTATTTAAACAATTAATTCTAGTACATTAAATATATAGCATGTTTGGCAACTGACTCTGGGGATAAACTTAAACTAGATAGCAGTACGTAGAGGATAAAGTAGGTATATATCGTTGAGAAGTCATGCAATCTCTAAATGTCATCCATTCAATTTCACCAGGTTCATAAGTGCTTGTGAATCAAAGAGGACCAAGAGAAAACTAATCCCGCAACTGAGAGCGAAGATCATGACTTTTTGCATCACCAAAGTTTCCGCAATAGAGGTGACATCACAGGGGAGGAGGTCGCTGAGTGAGAGGAGGATGACTGCATCATCAATGATCCAACCAAAACATGCATCTCCGGTTAAGGGGTTCCAAGCGGCATCAATGTACATGCAGACTGGATCCTGGTTGATGCTAGATTTTGTTGATTGAGGTTTGGAAAGGGGATCATGGGAGACAGACCATTCTTTCTTGGATCGCTTTTGCCAGTGTTTCCGCAGAAGAAAATGCAATGTTTTGGAAGATTAGTTGATTCCTTGAGATCCATAGATTCCAACAGATCCAAGCTGAGAGCGTCGGGACCCAGGCCCACATGTGGGAGAGATCAGGTTCGTCAGAGCAGTTCAAGACCACCACATGTGCTTGAGATGAGGCTCAAGTTAAAAACTGAGGTTAGAGGGGCTAGATTCCATACCTCCTAAGAGTATACACAAGTGATGAGTACATGGGCTACCGATTCCACCTCATTACATATGGGGCATCAGTTTGCTACACCAAACCTCAAAAACAATACCTAATGACAACTCAGTTCACTAAACAAATCAACCTTCCTCAACTTAAATCTTCCACTAACAAACTCTTCTATGAAGACAGTCCTTGACCAACAGACAACATAACCAAAACCCAACCCATTTAAGAGTATATTCTAGTAGACTCTAAATCAGTCGAGATAACCCACTACAGAGACAAAACAGACCCAAGCCTTATCTCCTATTCAACCTGCAAAATCTTACAGACCTATTCTACCATATCCAAGGATACACCTACATCGATTATAAAAAGAGAAATTCTTGGGTTCACCCCCTCTAGATTCACTAACCAATATAATTTTATTATTTCACATTCAGTATCTTTTAAAAGAAAAGAAATAAATTATCATCAAATTATATTATGTTTAAAAAAAAAAGATAAAAATAAATTAAAAATATTAGTAGTTGCAAACAAACAAAAAGTTCTAAAAAAAATTTTAATACCGTCAGCAAAACACTAAATCCTAAACCATAAATCATAAACCCTTGGATTAATTTTAAACCATGTGATTTATGATTAATCCAAGGGTTTAGAGTTTAACCAATGGTTTAGGGTTTAGGATTTAAGTTTTAGGGTTTAGTGTTTTGCTGACAGTATTAAAAATATTTTTTTAAAAGTCAAAGATTTATCCAAAGGTTTAGGCTCTGTAGAAAATTTTTAAGGTTTAGGATTTAAAGTTTAAGGTCTAGTGTTTTGATAAAAGTATTAAAACCAATTTTTTTTTTGCAACTACTATTATTATTATTATTTTTTATCTTTAAATTTTTAAAAAATATTATAACTCGACAATATTTTATTTCTTTTTCTAAAAGATACTGAATATAAAATAACGTAATATTATTGGTTGGTGAACGTAGAGGTTCACCCGATGAACCCAAGAATTACTCTTATAAAATTGCATTTTTGCTGAGCCTTTTACATCAGACCCTACGACCACTCTTGGTTCATCAGTTTTGATCAAATTTTACTAAGTCAATCCAGGATGGTTCAATGAATGGTGGTACTGGTTCGAATAATCTGATCCGATCTACCCATAAGAAGTACTCAGGACCTCTTCCCCGTTCTACAAGAAGCACATACGTGATCAATCAGTAGGTCCACTAAACAAGCTGTTTTTCCATATAAATATGCGCATATTATGGATATGTTCATGGCATTTTACCCTAGCCATAGCTCTTCAAGACATGCCGTATTCTCTCCTCCATGAATTCATGGTAAAATGGTGGGATAAATACAACCACGATAGATGTTCTCTCACCAACATTTAAAGTATTTCCAAATACTAAACCAAACAAAAACAACTATTCAAACCGTCTCCAAATCAATACCCCTTCAACCAAGCTAACTTTCCCAAACAAATTCAATCCCAAAAACAAAAGAAAACTCCTCCTCAAGTCCAACAAGTTCAACCACTTCATCATCCTCCCGCAAATCCTAAGAAAAGAAAAAATTCAAGAAATTCCTCACCGAACTATTGGCCTCCTCTTCAGAGAAAGACGACAATAACCAAGACAATACCCAACCTGAGGATCCTTTTGGAAGTCCATTGGGTCATGATCAATTTCAAGTTTAATAAAAAACATAATATATAATATTTTGGTAATGGATCAATAGTTTTACTTTTTTATGTTCGGATCCATATGTTTTTAGACTGGAAATAGTTTAATTTAGTTATTATTATTATTTTTACTTGGGTTTCTAAACCCAAATTTGAACATTTGCCTTTCTAAACCCAAATTTGAACATTTAGTTATTGTAATTGTTTTTATTTGAGTTTCTAAATAAGAAAAAAAATCTAAAAGTCTGATATTGTATATAATCACTTATTAATAACTTTTTCCTTTATAAACCCAAATTCGAACATTTAGTTATTGTAAGAGTTTTTATTTTAGTTTCTAAATAAGAAAAAAAATCTAAAAATCTGATCTTGTATATAATCACTTATAATACCCCTTCTTCAACCAAGCAAACTTTCCAAAAAAATTCAATCCCGAAAACAAAAGACAAGTTCTCCCCAAGTCCAACAAGTTCAACCACTTCATCATCCTCCCGCAAATCCTCAGAAAAGGAAAAATTCAAGAAATTCCTCGCCGAACTATTGGCCTCCTCTTCATAAGAAGACGACAATAACCAAGACAATACCCAACCGAAGATCCTTTTGAAAGTCCATTGGGTTATGATCCATTTCAAGTTTAATAAAAAAAACGTAAAATAATGTTTAGATAATATATAATATTTTGTAACAATAGTTTTACTTAGTTTAATTTATTTATTATTATTCTTTTTATTTGGGTTCTAAACCCAAATTTGAACATTTGCCATTCTAAACACAAATTTGAACATTTAGTTATTGTAATTGTTTTTATTTGAGTTTCTACATAAGAAAAAAAAATCTAAAATCTGATATTGTATATAATCACTTATTAATAAACTTTTCACATCTGTTTTTAAATAAATATTTAAATTGAATAATCAATTTAATTTAATTTATGATCTTTGGTTAAATAAATTTTTGGATTCGCCACTACTTGTCAGATAACAAAAAATTAAGGGCTTCTTAGGTTCATCTTAGTTGTACAGCTTGTGTTTTAACCAAACAAGACATCTAGTGTGATCTCAGATTCTACTAGTCTTAAAATGTGCAAAAGATTTAGATACAAACAAAGCCACTCTCCATGAATCAATGCACGAACTAGTTTTTTTTTTTTTTTACCAAAGGGACCAGCACCCCTTTTAATCCATTAGACAATATTTTTAAACCTTACAAGAAACACTGAATCAAACAATTTTTTGGGTCATCAGACTACTAGGTCGACTGCGGACGAACCACAAATTAATACACTAATTAATTTAATATAATTATACATTAGCTATTAAAAATATATGAGAAAATTTCACATTTATTAAAAACTATAGAAACATATTTAAAATTGATCTTTTCCTTCACATTTAAAAAAAAAATTTAAACTATTTAAAAACTTTTTGTAAGAAATTAGGAGTCGCGCATAACAAGACTTAAATCACATAAGTTTTAGATACTTATCATTGTTCACTATATTTTCTTTGGGAGGAATGATGAAATGTTCATCAAAATCTAAATATCACAATAATGATTTATTTGATATTATTATTATTATTATTATTATTATTATTATTATTATTATACAAAATTGAATATAATCAATGAATTTGATTCATAAATACATTATTTATTACATGTAAAATCAAGAAAACAAGATGAAAGCTTGTGATTCACGAAAAAAATGAAAACAAAGTTTATATGATAAAAGTTGGAACCTAAAAGGTTAAAACAAAATGTTATTCACTATAAACGAAATCATCAAAAATCTTAAAAGAAATTTGAAGGATACATACAGTTTCTTTCATAGCAAGGAAAACGATAATTTCATAAGAAAACTAAAATTTAGAATTAAAAACCCAACTTCCTAATTTTGGAATACAAACAGTATTTAATAAAGTAGTTAAAAACTAAGGAAAAATATTCACTGATTTACCCAGTTTAACCGATAACTGGATCACAAGATTTGAGGGATTTTAGCAGATTTTATCTAGGTTTTAATTAGTGGATATTTTTTAAAATCCAAACCGAATTATTGGGTTTGGCGGTCTGACCGCGAGTCTACGTTCTGCTTGAAAGCACTGCCACTAGGTGAGTAAAGAGCATATGTATGCAGGAATCATAAACAAAGTCTTAAAGTTAGACATTGTTGTGTGATTCCCCAAATAATGTTGTTGCATATACGAATGTTTGGTAGACGACAAATTTATGTAATAATAATATTTCTTTTATTTTAGAAAGAAAATATATAAGTGGTTTGGAAATGGTCCAAAATCTATCAATTTTTAAGACTAGATAGTTATGTGTAGAAAATTACTTTGGGGATATCAAAACTTAAAAACGAAACACAGTAAATTAAAATATTGATAAAGGTATGAAATTATTCAATATATTTAAGAAAGTTTTTCTTGTCAACAATATATTTAAAATGTTAAGAAAAATTCTAAAGATTTTTAGTACTTCCTCCGTTCATTTTAGTTGTCATTCTAGGTTTTTGCATATAGATTAAAGA